GATCAAATAGGAACGGAAGACGCTTCCGCGGAATTCAATCTCTTATCCGTCATTCGCGTCATTATGTCTTGATGAAGATGATTGAATGATGACGTAACACTATTCATGGTAGCTAGTCTTTTAAATCAGTTCACACTATATGCATGGGGTTAAATGTGGACAACTATGACATATGACATGCTAACAAGAAAAAAAGAACGATAGTTTCAGGAGATAAGTCTTGGTCAGTGTGACAAACCTGCAAATGTGAACTGGAACTATGATGCCTGTTTTGTTCGAAACTGTAAATCAATACACACGTCGCGCAACGTGACGTGATTGTAATATTTTTAAAACAAAGTATGGAGGATTTGTTTTGTATTTGTGGTGCATCGTTAACAAACAAAACGTCATGTCTGTTGGCCACACACAATAGCGTATTTGATGAAATACAGAAACAAAATAAGGTACATTAACATACTGTCAACTACCATTTAAAGCTGGGGAGTCGTCACCTGCGCATGATGGCATGATAGCGTGTGTTGTTATCGTCGCTTGGAATTCAACTCCCGCGCGTGCGCAGGTGACAACCAACCCGCTTTGAACAAGGACTCTGTATTACATATAAAATGGCACCAAAGTCGCCAGGTTGTGCATGTATTTCACACATGATATATGTTGTATGCTTTGGTGGAAATTTGTTTTTTACATCTACAAAAACATCATACTAATCATGTCCAATCAAATTCTGCTCACACATGTTCACACATTTATGAATATAAATAACTATCAAAATATTTGATCACACAGTCACCGCATCCACAAATATCTAGTTTCCCTAATTGCAAATCGTGGTTTATCGCATCAGATTCCTTACGCTCACCAACAACAATTGTCCAGCCAATTACCGATTTCCACGGCGTAAGTATATCGGTACATCAGTTAAACACGTGTTCCCCAGCCTCCCATGTCGGTTGAATACAATTATGTTCCTTATAGAAAAACGAGAGAGTCGACCACAGTGCGCGCACCAATTGCACGAATATAATTTGACACGTATTGAACGTGTAACGTATACTTCGATTGGAACCGACGAACACGATCACAGCTCGAAACAACATCTGGGACGACTTGGTCGTTCTTTAAAGCGGGGGAGTCGTTACCTGCGCATGCGTCAGCTGGCCATAGCGTGTCATTGTTTACAAACAAGCTTCCACCAATGAGCCTTCGCGTTTTTAGCGTGTGATGTTATCGTCGCTTGGGACTCAATTCCCTCGCGTGCGCAGGTGACGACCCTCCCGATTTAAAGAATACTGATATGTTCGTGGTAGTCACAACGTTTTCGTTTAAAGTAAATCCCTGTGTTATTCGTATTGTACTAAATGAGCTAATATGATTTATTTTCTTGCAGCAATTTGGATATTCTCATCTCTGTGTGCCTTTCCTCCGATGGTCGGGTGGTCTAATTACGTGTACATTCCAGGGAAAGCTATATGTACTCTGCTCTGGTCGACAAATATATCCTACACGTTATTCGTGTTAACACTTGGAATAATACTGCCTTTCTTTGTCATGATAGTGTCTTATTATAAGATATTTAAAGTCGTACAAAGCAATTCCAGGAGGATACAGTCTCATTTTGAACGAGCAAGCGTCCCACCATCGCCAGTGTTCGGCGAACGCTCGGGAAGGAAACTTAACGTACCTTCTACCAAATCAAGTACAGACGACACACAGCCGGCGACTAGAGGTCATGAGTACCGAGTGAATCAAGGTCACGCTGTCAGACTCAATGGCTTGTTTCAAACTCCCCTCGATGGTGGGAGCCGTCGGGGGTCCGAAATCAGCATTACCTCAAGAGCACCGAGTTTGCTTGATCAGGTTTACGGGCCGCTTGGTCGGCGTGGATCGACGCTCTCTATAGACCCAGTGACAATGGATCGCCCAACGTCGGCAATAAGTGGTCGCCTAGCAATGGGAGGGTCGTCAAGGCAACTGCCAAGACAGGGACCTCGAATAGAGGATGTGAAAATAACGAAGACAGTTTTAATTGTGCTTCTTGCATTCGTTGTTTGCTGGTCTCCGATTAGTGTTGTCAATTTCTTGGAAACATTTTTCAACTACACCATTCCAATGGCGCTGGATTTATTCACTGTGTACATGGTGTTTTTAAACTGCGCCCTCAACCCTATCATTTATGGATTAATGAACCGGAACTTTCGCAAAGGTTTCAAGAAAATCTTTTGTTTCTGCAAAACAGGCGCACTTCGAAAACAGAGATCTGTTGGCGCTGTGATCGCTATTCACTCCGCCGGGGAGTCTGCATCTCGTGCTGTAACAGTGAATAGGACATCGACTCATAAACCCAGGGGTACTAAAAAAAGAAGGAGATCTGCCACAGTCAGCTGGCGTACAAGTGATAATAAAATAAATGCGATAATAATTTACCAACAGTTACTATATGGGTAAGCCATCTTGGATAAAGCTTGAAACAAAATAAATGTGTGTTTTTTTCTCAGTTTCCCATAAATCAAAGGAAATAAAACTTTCATGCCAAACGATCCGTTGGGGTGATAGTAATAAATAAATAATTCATAACTACATTAGTCGTTTTTGCGTGGAAAATCCGTCGCTTGCACACACTTTCCCAGGGTATTTGAAACCAAACTTAATATCATTTGTACGCCAGCATTCGCAATATAAAGCATGTTCTAGTAAAATTTTGGTCTGTTAACAAAACTGAAAAGATTTCTACAAACGAAACAGTGACTTATTTTGGCGGTAAATCATGTTAACCTTTTCTACGTGACTAACGCCATGCTGTTAAAAGACCATAATAGTCGCACATCGCGTGCTCGAATTTCGTTTTCATTTTTAAAAAGTAACGAACCTTTGTCAGCTTAACGTTGCATTGTTTCATATTCCAGGGTATATTAACTTTATTTACGATAATATTATATGGTGTTATTCACAAAAGCGACACAATTTACGTTAGCAAAGATTACGATAACTTGCTTATGAAACGTAGAATTGTCTCAGGTAATATGGTTGTGTCCGATTACCAGGCTGGAGTTTTAGTAGTGTGCGATTATACATAAGCCTTCTAACCCGGTGAACGTGTAGCAATATTTGCTTTTATCTAGGTGATCAGGTGGGGAGAAGAATATGAATATTATCATATTGGGAAAAGGCTTTTTAATTAGATGGAGATCACACGATTCACACCCACGTTACGAACCCCAAACAAGCCAAATAGCAAAAAAAAACTTGCTTGTTTGCTCCGTTGGTTTAAATCGAGCTTGTATAAACGCTTCTTGGAGTACATGACCCCCTAGCTATGTGTTTATTTATTGCTTTGGCAAGTCACGTGATAAGATGCAGACGTATTCCTACAATTGTAGCAGTAAGATGGGCGGTCGTTGTAAACATACACATTGGTGTAAGCAAACAATGCATTATACACAGGTTATGTAAGTCGAATGGAATTCGTTGGGATAGCAACCGGCATTTGATATTATACATTTCTTAATATCAATAACGATTTTTTTGCGAACAAATTGTGTATTTTTTACAATGATGTTTATAATATATACTAGGGAATGTAATATATAAACTGACCTGTGATCGGTCACTATGAATAATAAATATTTATTCCCTGTATATCACTCTGCAAGCTGTTACAGCGCCATCCCCGATTTTTTTTAAATATTCCACAAGCTTTAGAATATCGTTGAGGGCGTCAGTCATTTTATTTCAGCTAAACTATTGATCGTGTATATTGTTTTAGGTCAACCATTGCTGCGCTGAACGAAAAGACCGATGAAACGAAAACAGATTTAGACAGAGCAGCTTTGTGCGGGTTTTTTTCTCATCACTACACTACGTACTATTTGGGTCGGTCAGTGTCGTTGAATCTTAAATGCCATTGTTATTCAATCGTCTTCAATCTATCACAGATTGTTTCTGTTAAATATGACACTGGAAGTCAATTACACTATAATGCCGATCAAACTGAATGCCCATCGGGACATTTTAAAGTCATTCGTTAAATGCTACAGTACCACGGCGTGCTGGTTGCGATTGGAGCTGCATCGACGCTTTCTATTTCTAGTCTTTTTACCAGTTTTTCATCCTTATTTTGCCTATGCTTTGCCATACTATTAGTCTTGATTAAATCATATATGATCAGCGCCGTCGTTGATTGCATGTACTCACGAAGGATTGATGCGTATGGAGGAACATAAAAAGGCGATTAGTCAAAATAATGGTGCATGTGAACTAACCTGCCACGATCGGTCCCGTAGCGCATTCAGGCATTTATTTTGTAAACCGAAGATTTACAATGTGGGCAGTTTGATTTAGAATGACAATTCGGCAGCGTGTCTGCCAATATTATAAATTTGTTAACAGTAATATTCGCCTGACATCGGCATTGTTTGGCTGTGGGGGTAATGTTAAAGAAACGCAACAAGTTGAACAATCATAGTTTTCAAAGTGGATTGTTTGTATGCAGGACATTGCCTACCACGATTAAAAGCCACGGCCTTGGTGCAGGAGGCATTCTTTATACACAAGTTTTCAGTCACGTGAATTTATTATACTATAGAGTCTATCATTGCATCAATCTGATTAAAATCTGATGTAGTGTACGGGCTTTAATTATTTTGGCTATAAACTTATTTTAATTTTATTTTTTATTACATTTGTTATTAATGCCCTTTTATTTTATTATTTTACTTTGATTTTGATTTTGTGATATTCTTTAATTCCGCCCTACCTACATCTGAGCCGATGCCTATGTAACGAGATTTCAACGAGACCCACTATCGACGATTTTAGTCAACGAATCACAGACCTCCTTCTATAGCGCACATGATGACGTCACCGGGCAGAGTCAGGTGGCAAACACACTCAAATAAAATGGCGGATTATACCGACGTTAGCGACCGTGAATAACACGGCTTTTCGGTAAGTTTATCATTGTCAAATGCAACGAAAGTCATTTTTATGTTAATATTGTGGCTCGAATGGTTCGACTTTAGATCGTTATTTCGCATAGTTATTCTGGGAGTGACGATTT